AACCTCAGTAGTATTTGTAAAGTTGATGGTGACATATTTTGACAACTTTTTTAAAACCTGAAAAGTGAATAATTTAGAATCATTTGTATCATGAATTTTTTTTTTTTTGAGATTTGCTTTTGAATTGAGGAGAAGTAAGTCTATTTATTCCTCTTATTAGTGAAGCTGTATGAAAGTCACTGGGTGCTTATTAACCCGTTTGAATGTCTGATAAAAACTGGCTTCTGCAAAATGGAGAAAATTTCAAGTTCATAGCATTTGGTTAGAACTTTCACCTTACCTTGCAAGTTCTAATTTTTTCAAACCAACTGGTAGATTATAACTAATGACATAACTGAAGCTTTTCTCCAAGCTTTTCCAAAAGCGCATCCAAGCTTTTCTCATTGACCTATAATTTCTTATATATTATATTAACCATGTGTAAATTTAGAGTTATTAGAAAAATCATATTTTTCCAGAGTTCGATGAAATATTATTTTTCTTGCTTTATTAAAAAAAAAAAGTAAAAGATGATTAGATCCACTGCCTCCTGGGAAGTTTCTTTTAAAAGGGAATTAATTAAGAATTTCACAACCGTTAAGCCTCAAAACATTCCATTTTAGTTAGATAACGGAGATTTAATTATCACCATCTTTTAGAGATGTTAAAGATTCCATTTTAGATTTAATTATCACGATCGTTTATTTAAGTAGCTTGGGCTTCCAGCCTATTTTGGCTCCTGCCTGGGAGTGGGAAAAGGGGGGCTCCCTCTGTCCCAAGGACAGCTTGGGGTGAGGAACTGAGGACTTTTTCTTGAAGCACAACGGTGATGATCAAGTTTTGAGCTGCTTCTTGAAAAGACAGAGTTTCAAAATTAAAATCAGAAAGCCCTGGAGCTCCCCCAGGAAACCCTGAAACTCTGTGGTTTACAACCTGGGGATAAGAGGCTCTGTCCACAAGCAGCGTCTGGAGATTAATTTATAATTATTAAATATCACTGAAAATTTCGGCTCGAAAGAAAGTTTAGGGAAGAAATGAGCTGGTATTATACTCCTTTTTGCGTGTGCAATTCAAGAAAAACAACTATAGCAGGGCCAGAGTCAATTTGATTCCCTAGTAACCACAACTTTGCACATCAGAACAAAGTAAGGGAGTATCTGAATCCTTCAGGAAATCTGCCAGGCTTTCTTGAGTTCATTTGAATCCTGCCAAGGCCCAGAAATATGATGAAGCTTCAAAATGAGAAACCCAACGGGAGGGGGGGAATGAAACCTCCAAATCCAATCATCTTCAAACAAAAGACTGACCAGTAATGTCACAGGATCAGTTTCACTGGGACAAACAACTCATTTTAATTACTTCTATTTGGTAACATCCAAAAGAATGAATCATGCCCTTAGTCTAACAATAGTGAAAGCACGACAGGGAAGCTTTGGAAAAAAGAAGCAAGAGCTCAAATTCTGGTGATTTCCTGGCACCTCCCGCTCATATTGTCTCACACCGTTTCCTAGAGGGTGAGATAAGCAGGGAAGGTGAGGAAGCGGAAGGAAAGACAGCAGCCCTCAACCGAGTGGCTTCTTCCATGTGGGACACGTCACGTCTGCAACACATTCTGCAAGGAGTAAGGAGAGTGACGCCCTGCAGCTGAGTCCAGAGAAACAGCTGGACTCTGACCACGATGTGAGCCAAGCAGCCCACCAGACATTTCCTCTCCTGATGGTCAAATCTGTCCGAGCTATCATCCAAGCTTTAACATTTGTATTTTATGCATTTTTAATAGCCACAGACCTGTGACTGTTAGTAGGAGTGGTCCCTGCCTGCCGTATGTGAGAGGGGACAGGAAGCAGGAAGAATGTCTGCGGGATTATTATTCTGAAGGATACCCGAGAGGGAATGTTTGCTTTGTACAGTGGTTTTCTCTTACAGCACTGGATGGTTTGCGATTATTCAAGGAGGGTCAAGTGATGGGTTTTGAAACACTGCCTACCAAGCCTAGAACAAGGTTTGACAATTCACACAGAAGAAAGAACCCTGGATAATTGAGTGGGAAAATGACATTCAATGAGAGACTTAAGTAAGAGATAGCTCTAGTATAGTCTGACTGAAAAGAATTTTGACAAAGTCATAGCTTTTAATACTCAATTATCTTTTGTTATTAAAAAAAATCATCCGGTTATCCCCAAATTATGGGTCTGTTCAAAGAGCTGGTTATCATCTTCCAGAATGGGCCAAGGTTCATTTACCCCGTGAAAATCTTTTGGTTTGGGGCAGAAGGGATGGGGTGTGACTGAGAGTAAGCAGATCTGGGTTGAGTCTTGGCTTTTGTACTTATCAGCTGTGCAACTCAGGCAAGTTGTTGATGTCTCTGGGCCAGAGTTTCCGCAGTTCTGAAATCTGAGGCCAGCATGACATGTGACCAGGGATGGCAAAGCATTTCCTGCTACAGCTATGGAACGAGAGGCAGGGTTGAGTAGTGGAAAGGCACTATCATTCCTCTGCTATCTGGTGGATCAGGGCCATCCCTCAGCTACCCCCTCTTGTGACCACAGGGGACAGGACAACACCTGCCTGCAAGGGGTGCAGTGACTGCCCACGAGAGATGCTTAGCACAGTGCCTGGCCCACTGGAGGGAATCCCCAAAGGCAAGTGTCTTGACCCCCAACCCCTGCTCAGTCTTTGTTTTTGTTTTTAATTCTCTCTTGTTTTTGGCCACACCCCGCAACATGCGGGACCTTAGTTCCCCGACCAGGGATCGGACCCGTGCCCCCTGCAGTGGAAGCGTGCAGTCTCAACCACTGGACCGCCAGGAAGGTCCCCCTGCTCAGTCTTTGAACAAAGTCCAGAGGGATACTTGTCAGAGAACTTGAACACAAGGATTTAGATGTAGGTACTGGTAAAGCTAAGGACACGCCACCTGGCATTACCTGAGCCCCAACTGCAATAATTAAGGCATAAACGCATTTATATGACCTATTTGGAGAGCAAATAAAAATGGACCAAAAGGCTGGAAAAATACTCATCTATCTGAGAGAGATGACAGAATTACACACACTTGTTCTGGAGAAAAATGACAAGTGGCAGAAATGTAGCATAATGGGTTGACATGACAAGGGAAATTAGTCTGGACAGGGGTCAACTGAAAGTTTAAGAGGAATGATATTGTGATTTTCCCAAGGCCTGGCTGGGAAACCCAAGACATTCACACACACATACACATGCACAGTCATCTCAAAAGACCCAAATAACTGTCATCAAAGCTCCAGTTTATGGGCTTCTCTGTTAAATTAGTCTCCGTTAGTTCGTTTTCTGGAGTTTTCTTTTTCAGACATGACAAAAGATTTGAAATGTGACTGTGGTTAAAACTAAATACAGCTCCCACTCATCAGCAAAAAACGCATACAAACAACACCAAACACCACACACACAACCCAAACCAAACAATCCCACAACTTGTATTAATGTGTCTCTTACCTTTCTCATCATAGCCTAAGTCTTCAGTGTTTTAGTAACAAAGACTTGCAAAAAAAAAAAAAAAAAAATCTCCCCATGTTCACTACTGATAGTCAAACAGACAAATGTGAGAGTCCTGTGTGCTTAGCTTAGGGCGTAACTCAGAGACAATCGGAAAGAAGGGTCTTTAGGTCAAGCAAGCTCATCTGGAAGGCCCAGAATATACTGGCAAGAGGGACGGGTGCTGGGCTAAGGAACCGGAACAGGAGGCAGTAGGAAGAAGGAATGGGGGTGTTTATGGGGAAGGAATGCGTCTCGAGAATATGGTGAGGAATTGTCTGATATATGGGACGGGGGAAAGCAGCTCCAAGCCTCTGAGACTTCGGATTGGGAGTTTCCCAGGGAGGAGGGTTGCCAGGGGTGGGGGTGGGGTCCTTTTTCTTCTTGATGGGAAGCTAGGACAGAAGCCAGCAGGTGTGCCTGCGGCTGCAGGACCGAGACACAGACGTGAATGAGACCAAAGGCCCCCCGCTGTGGGCCGCCTAAGCCAGCGCCAAGGCAAGCCCAACCCTCTTACACTGCGCAGACCCTGAATTATCAAGGGCTCTAATTTCTGCTGCCCTGTCCTTCCTGTGACTCACAGGACCCTTGGAGTTAGACGATCTGTCCCATCTCTATGAATCTTTCCAGTGGTATGAGAGCCCAATCCCCCTGTTGTGCGACAGTGTTATGGGTTAGATTGTGTCCCCAAAAGGTACGTTGAAGTCCTGACCCCTAGTACCTCTGAGAGTGACCTTAACTGGAAATAGGGTCTTTGCAGATATAATCAAGTTAAGAAGAGGTCAATGAGGTGGGCCGCAATTCAATGCAACTGGTGTCCTTTAAGGAAGACAGAGACACACAGGGAGACAGAGGAATGTCAAGGATCAATGGGCACCACCAGGAGTTAGGAAGAGGCCACGAGGGATTCTGCCAGAATCTCAGAGAGTGCATAGCCCGGATGACACCCTGACTTTGGACTTTTGGCCTCCAGAACTGTGGGAGAACAAATGTCTGTTGTTTAAGCTGCCCAGTTGTGACACTGTTATGGCAGCCCCAGGAAATGAGCATACTGGGAGTCCTCTATCACATGATTCTAACTCTGTACCAAGAGACACGTGGGATGAAGGTATAGTTGGTATAGTTAATGACAGCAGATATTAGTTTTAATTCTCGAAAAAGAATAATGAATTTACAGGGCTCCTTTGTTATAGCAAGAGATGCCTTAAAACAAATCTATATTCAGAGACGGTGTGACTGACTTTCACTGGAATCGGGTCCAGGCACACCAAGGACCTGACCATCTCACTGCATATCCACACCCAGGAGTGACCCAGGGCATGGCTGTAACCTGGTAGGAATTCACAGTAACCAAGTGAGGAAATTACTTATCAGACCATTTCTGTAATAAATATCAGAAAAACCAAACAAAATAAAACGAAAAGAGATTTGTACTAGGGAAAAAAGAAAGAAAGAAAAAGTAAAAAGCACAATAGCCCACCTGAATTGAGTCCTGTGAAAATCCTGCTCACTTAGAACAAGCCTTTAACTTGCTCTGTTTCCGTATCAAGATCTATGTCATAGAAGCAGGGCCGAGTCGGCAGTCCTGGCATGGTGCTCATCTAGGGGAGAGAACAAAAGATTATATATTAGCCAGTGCTGCAAGGGGATCATGCCGGACAATGTACATCTAACGACATAAATTAACTATATAATTCAATTCGGCCTCATGTAACTCTGGGTTATATATACATGTATCTTTTAAAATTCACCATCTGCTATTCCAATCTTTGTTTAAGGAAATTAAATCCCTCCATGGTCCCACAGCATACCATAGCTCCAAAACAGTGATTTTCAAACTCTTTTTACTAAGTCAAATCTTAATGCTGAAGCCCAACAAGGACAAGCCCCTCTGGCTGAAGGGGACAGTGGGTGTGGAAGGAATGAATAATGAACAACCCCCAGGACACATTTCGGTAAAATCTTCAACTCTTGGAGCACAGTTTGAAAACTCCTATTCTCCAGATAGCTGGCCTACTTTACTAGCAGTAACTGTTGTTTATTGAGAACTTACTATGTGCTAGGCACTGTGTAAATGCTTTTTTTTGCATCGTCCCCCAAACTCAATGAGGTAGGTACTTTTATCGTTTCCATGTTACAAGGAAGGAAATGGAGGTTTAGAGGTGTTAAGTCATTTGCCCAAGGCCACACAGGTAATAAACAGCAAAATGGGAAATTGGACTCCATGTTTGTAATCTCAAATTACTCATATAACCACCATCAACACTGCTGCCTCCACCACCGTTTGGGCACTCTATACTCAGAATTTTACATAGATAGTAACTTGAGTTCCCCATCACCCTTAGAGGTGGGCACTCATTTTAGCCTCACTTTACTGATGAGGACAGAAGACATTTAGGCACAAAGGCATGGGCTCAAGGATACACAGCTGGTCAGTGGTGGAGACAGAATTAAAACCAGGCCTGTGCTTCTCACTGCTTTGCTGCACTGTGTCTAGATCGGTTTTGCACAAAACGCTTTGTCCACCTGCACCAGAGACCCCCGGTGACGAGCTGGGGAAGCTGGCCGGTTTCCCCTGGTGATGCTGACACACTAAACACGGGTCTAGAACCGGGAGTGTGAGGATTTTGGATGAGCTGCTCTTTATCGATTTTAGTATTCCCACTTCTCTCCAGGCTGGAAGTTCTCAACACCAAAGGAACCCAGATAAGGCCTGTCACAGATCTCCGGTCTCGCACTCTCAAGGTCCTTTTTTGTAGGGACAGGATTTCTCTGACGCCCACTCTTCCCCCCTATGATGCTGACAGACTCTCGCTACTCAGACTGGGGTCTGTGGACCAGGGGCATCGGTATCACCCAGGAGCTTGTGGGAAACTCAGGATCTCAGGGCCCACCTGCGGCCCGCTGAATCAGAATCTGCAATTTCAGCACATCCCCAGGAGATCTGTGTGCACGTCTCCATCTGAGAAGCCCCGGCTTAGTCAATATGGCCTAGGATGCCTCCCCCCACTCCCTTTAGCCCCGGGAAAGGGAGCTCCTGGGGAAGGGGGTGAGGTGCTGGGGAGGAAGGGGAGAGGAAAGCCCTTTCACCCCTGACCAAGTGCTGTTACTTCTTCCCGGCCCTAGCTCCAGGTTGAGGAGGAAACCCGTGCACCTGCGGCCTCATAACCACCTGGGCTATGAGAGTGTGAGTGAGGTAGGTCCACGTGGCCGGACACATAAACACTGTGATATACGGTGGCCAGCTCCTGTCTTGCTGATTGCACAGGATTGCCCTTTAGTATATTATGGGCTAAAAAGGCTTCTGAGGCCTGCCTGGAATACAGGCACCACCGATAGCATGTCTTCAGGAAAATGTGCTCTGGGTTTCGAGCAATGAACTACAAATAAAGTTCTGGCGCACAACCTGCTCGTAGGTGGGGATTTCCTGTACTTTAAAACTTTAGGTATGTGGATGGCTACCTCTCCTCCTGAGGTTTCTGTTCCTAGCAGGGGGGTAACATTTTTCTCTGGTTACTACAGCCGCTGCTCCTAGGAGACCCCAGAAAGAAACCCACGCTTAATGTTTTAGCACCGAAACATCAAACACAAAGGACGTTGGTGGGAACTGTTCATATTTTTTCCAGTTTCCTGGGCTACAAAACTCATACCAGTTACTCTACAACAATTTTCCTACCTAACTGCACTCTGACATGAGCATTTTCAGATGCCTTTATAATCTGTGTGGGGATATGGATTTGGAAAAAGGAACCAGCGTTTTGTAGTTTAAGGAACGAGTGACCGCATTCAGCCACAGCGAAGCTGCTCCGTCTCTAATTTAAAATAACTCTCTAGGTCGAAGGTACCTGGGTGAGGATGCTACCCAGACTTTGCTGCTGCTTCTGAGGCTGCAACACTATTCATTCCAGGGCAGAATTCAGTCTGAGGCAGATCATATCTAAATCCACACGAGGTGAGAAAACCCAGGAAGAACCCCGAGGGCAGTGCATTTGGGTTCATCTGAGCAAAGTTATAATGGAAGCTTCTATTGTGGATAACACAATTGCACTGCCTGCTTGTTTACAAGCTTTTTTTTAACAGACATGAAAATTCAGCTTTCCACCGTTCACTTTTAGCTGGTGCAAGACCAAGACCGACAAAGGCAGTGTGATTCGCACGCTTCCTGGAGCTGAACCACAGGCTGCAGTGACTCAGCGCATGCATCTTTGGGTCATTCTGATACTGTCACAAAACTGGGAGCTTTTCTAAGTAGCCAAAATATTATTCAATGCCAGGAAGTATGAAATGTCTTTCCTCTATTTTCAACTTACTTCTCTCAAATGGGAGGAAAAATAAGATCAATCAGAAGACTCCCATGTTCCCTTCCAGTGATGCAATCGTCACTTTCAAGAATCAAGAATCCCTACTTATTCGGGATGAGCAACAACTGACCAGGAAGCATGTGGAGTGTGCAGAGCTGGGGGACTCCCAGCCCTGGAGACAAAGCCAACTCCAGTCCATCTATGTTTAAAATAAAAGTCCTGCTGAGCAGACACAGTACGGAATTATGTTAACAAGACCTTACACATTCGCATCAGATTCTCTCCCAATAAAAAACACTGTTACCAAAGGACTGGAGCCCCCAGACAAGAGTCAGCAGAGCACTACAGGAAAGAAGAATTCGGACAGCCCTTGGGAGGTGACCTCTCTGGACCCACGCCTGGGGTCAGTGGTGATCTATGTTGACTTATTTGTGTGCCCTTGAAGAAGGCGTCCTGCTTAAAATAATGAGGCGCCACTAAATCGTACTCACTTGTCATGCTGCATTAATGGATTCTTTTACAAAGGCTGAAAAGCATGGGCTTTTTTGCCCTTCACGCCCCTAGTTTTAACTACAATGAATCTTCCAAATCTTTGATTTCGGGTTAAGCTTATTTTGGAGAAACGACGAGTTATAGGAATAGCCTTTATAAACGTTCATTAACACCAGCAAAGAGAAAACATTCATACACCTAAAACCTGTCATTCAGAAGTAAGAGTAAAACACTCTTAGAATGAGTAGGAAAATTACCTAAAAATCTGTTTCATAAAGTGATAGTATCATACTTACCACTTAACCAAAATATCGTTGTAGTTAATTTTGTTGTGTTTGTGAAATAATTTCTTTTCTGACTTCTCCTTAAATCTACTGCTTTTTCCTACTGGATAAATCATCCAGATCTGTTGTAATTCAGAAAAGAAATAAGCATTTGAACTCACTATTCCTTCAGTTCATGACCTGAAAGGGAATCCCTTCTATACATTTCTTTCCTCCACCAATATGGCCGAACACCCATCATCTTGTTCCAAAAATTTAAGAACAACCAAAAAAGGGACTTCCCTGGTGGCCCAGTGGTAAAGAATGCCCCTTCCAATGCAGGGGATGCTGGTTCGATCCCTGGTCAGGGAACTAAGATCCCATATGCCGTGGGGCAACTACGCTCGTGTGCCACACTACAGAGCCCACAAGCCCTGGAGCCTGCGTGCCGCAACTAGAGAGAGAAAACCCGCACACCACAACTAGAGAGAAGCCCGAGTGCTGCAAGGAAGAGCCCGTGCACCGCAACGAAGATCCTGCATACCGCAACTAAGACCCAACACAGCCAAAAAAAAAAGAACAACCAAAGAGACTACAATGGTTAACTACACGATGATGTAATTTAAATAAAAAGATTCTTTTTGATGAAATAATAACTCAAACATTTAAACTGTTGAGCAAAAGTATTTTCTGAATTATAAGTACAGTGCCTGGCAATATTAGGCCTGCAATAAATATCTTTTTAAACAGATGAGTAATACGGAGGATGATTAGAGAATTAGGAAACAAACAGAAAACTGCTCGAGGACTGGATTTTTTGTCTCTTCTCTTCTCCCTCTTCTTTGGACATGAGGGACAGAACTGTTTACATCTAATGGTCATTCAGATAATTAAACTAAGATGATGCAAGAGGAAAAATGGCCGGTATAAACATCAAGTGAAAGGAAAGAAGAGAAGTATTAAAAATCATGATAAGGCTTCCCTCGTGGCGCAGTGGTTGAGAGTCCGCCTGTCCATGCGGGGGACACGGGTTCGTGCCCCGGTCCGGGAAGGTCCCACATGCCGCGGAGCGGCTGGGCCCGTGAGCCACGGCCGCTGAGCCTGCGCGTCCGGGGCCTGTGCTCCGCAACGGGAGAGGCCACAACAGTGAGAGGCCCGCGTACCGCAAAAAAAAAAAAAAAAAAAAAAAATCATGATAATGAAAACAGTGCTGCTACCACTGGGATTCCACTTGCTTGACTTAGTGGTGATGGAGGCTCTGGGATTTCTTTCTGGGTCAGGTAACATTCACCGGCACGGCCCGTGACTGCCAGGGATGCTCTGGGTGCCTGGGGGCGTGTCCTATCAGAGTGCCTGTTATCTTTCCTGGTGGCCAGCGAGTGCCTGTTCCTGTGCAAAAGGACAGTAAGGCTTTATTCAACCCACAGTCCTTGGCTGAGCACTCACTATGGGGATACCAAGGTGACCAGGACCTGGTCCCTGCTTCCAAAGGGACGGACCATTAAGTAGATCATTTGAGTCGAGTCACTTTTTACTTTTTAGTTA